AAGAAGAGAGACGAGGCCAGGGACCACACATTACTACGTGAATGATTGAATTTAGTAGTTAAAAAAATATATATATACTATGTGGCTCTTTAGACACTCCTCGGGCGCTCAAAAATCCCGAGGAAATGATCGTTCCATCTGTCCTCGGAGAGAGTTCCTTGGAAATCGATGTGAAAACATTTCCTGGGGGAGTCCTCGGGGCGTCCTCCGGCCACAGCCATTTGGCTGTGCTCCCCAAGGCACCTCGCGAGGTCCCTCGGAGCGGGAGTTTCCGCGAAAATCGGGATGGCGGCGGCGACCTTCGACGACATCACAATTATGGAGTGTGGTACGACGGTGGTCCAGCCGAGGTGCGGGCGGACATCACCGGCCAGCAACGTTTGACTTCGGTGGGAACAGCGGCAATGGTCAGGTCGGTTGGCGGGCGGGGTCCGTGGAGGGCCCGAGGTAGCCCAGCCCCTCACGAGTAGCCCAGCCCCTCACGCGTGGGGGCGGGAAACGGAAAGGCCTCCAACGGCCAGCCGTTTTGAAAATGACCCCGTTGTACGCCCGCCGCCGAGTGCAGCTGTCCGCAATGTAAACCGGCGGAGGGCGGCATCAGTCATCACTTGTCGTCTGCTGTTTGAACACGACCAACACTCAACAGGTCGCCGGCAGCTAAGGACACTGCACACGAAGAAGTTGGCAGAGATGGGGGTCGGTTAGCAGTGTGTGAGCACGAAGGCGCAAGGCGGAACACGACGCTCAGAACAGTGGATCGAGCCACGGTGCGCCATGTCTTCTAACACGTGTGGAACGTTGTCTTGACGCCCGAACGGGCAGCAGCTCCTCTGCGTGACGCCCACTGCAAAACCCCGGCGATTCCCCGATGGGGTCGTCCCGCCCGCATGTCCCCGCGGAACCTCAGCAGAGGGCATGGTCGGCCCATTCGAAATTTGAATTTTGAAAGAATCGCGCGCACGCAATTTTTTTCTCTTGGACGGCGGCGGCAGTCCCTTTTCGAACTCGACGCCCAAACGCGCTGGACCAAGGCCGCTCACACGGACACCAGACGATGGACCACCGCCCAAACATTCGTCCCGCGTCCGCGTATAAAATTATACGTCTCCCCGCGGCCACTCCTCGGAGCATCCTCGGGCATCGTCCCGAGGGAGAAGTGGAACGAAAGCTGGAAATTCCTCGGGCACCCCCGAGGATTTCCCCTCGGAGCCCGAGGACGCCCGGAGGAGTGTCTAACGAGCCCCTATGTACTATTTAGTAATTTTACTGGTCTGAAATACACTTCCCTTGAGGAAATTTCGTTTATTCTTCACACGAAAACACGGTTCCAACTTTCAACTTTTTTTCTAGTTAGTTTTTTCAAGCCGATTAATTTTTTTTGGCTGCTTTTGCTGGAGTCGGTTCATCGCAGTTAAAAACGGTATGGAGTATTCCCTTATTAAAAAAAAAGTTTTCGGTACAGAAGACTTTCTGCCTGGAGTCCGTACCCAAGACAATGATCCTACCTACCGTCCAGATTCTGCCATTTGCAATCGTCTTCCCCCGAACACAACGCACCCTGACAGTGAATGTATGCACGTTATCGTTTTGGTCCGGTACAGCCATAAGGAGAGTGGTTTGTGTTTGGGGGAAGACACTAGAGTCGGTAGAGTCGGTACCTGGGACAATGGTCCTACTTACCTGTCCACAGATTCTGCATTTCTGGCCATTGATCCTTATTATCTCGACCGTTCAGAAAAGTCCTTTTTTTTTTTTTTTTTTTTTAAAAAGGCCCAA